TAGATAGATAGATAGATAGATAGATAGATAGATAGATAGGTAGTAATGGAACAGTTTATTAAACCTTTAGACAAAATATATATTAAAAAAGTTATTTTTATTATAATTTTTTTTAAGTTCATCAGGCTTTTATGGCTCCTATAGTATAATATAGGAGAGTATGGAGCTCAACTCAAGGAAGAAAAAAAAACATTTATACGGCCAAAAAGTACAATTAAATATTGATAGCCTGTAACGCAAACTTTCACAATATAACAGACTACAAAGTTTTGATGTTGATAATTTAGAGGCCTTAGACATTTGTGTATCAAATAGCATACAGTAGGCTTTACAGGGTTAATAGAAACTCAATATTTTCCAAATAATATTTTGACAAATGTATAATATTCTCACCCCATGCACAATAATCATTATACGTCAGGGTTCCTTCCATCTAACAACAGCAACAAAAAAACATGACTTAAATGACACTTAAAATGTCTGAGCATCTTGCATTACACAAAACAACGTTAGTTCTGAGAAACTAGCAGAATTCGTTCGAAGACGCCACTTGTTTTAATGTTACAGATTGCAACTACACTGAGACTTTAATGCTTTTTAGTCTTCACGTGTTTTTGGGGCAACTAGTCTTCCTTAAGTGGGCTTTTTAGTTCAAATACTTGGCCGGCTCAGATGATTTTAGTGAAACTGATGATTTCAACACCACAACACAGAGGACTCCTCAGACGTCACATGATCAAGGGCTTCACGTGAGAACGAATGTAACGTTCTAGTGTCGAATGCTGAAAACAACTGTTCTTATTTAACACCTCAAACTGTTCATGTACTTTTGTCGCAACAAGTTGACCTGCCAGCCCATAAGAAAGCTGCGGGTTATCTGCTACATTAATGTCCGGTATTAGCCAAAGAGTGACCCGCTTCTCTCTGGAACCAGAATGTTTTTTTCTTCCCCATACCGTCGCTGCATTTGAGTTGTTTCGGTGTTATACATCTACCCAGACTTTATTTAAACAGTGGATGGTGTTTGTCTGAAGGCTTTCGCCCGCATGATGAGTGTTTGTCCGTCGGGGACTCACCCTCCAGTGGGAGACAGAAAGTCTCCGTCCTCGTCGTCTGCTGCAAACATGCCCCTGACTGATCTTCACGCCGCCAGCTTTAATAATATTCCAGATATGCAGTAATGATCGCCTGCACGCGGCGAGTAAATATTAAAGTGTAATGATAATGCTCTGCGGTCGCTTCCTGGTTCTGCTGGTGTCAGCTGACCCGCCACCTGATCTCACGCGCTTGCGTCCCTCGGCACTTCCGATAGGAAAGAAAAATAGTCATGCAAACACATTTGGAAAATCTAAAATATGTTTTAATGTGCTTATAGTCACTGTCTAGATTTATTAATAACATGAAAACCGTTTACAATTAATTATTAAATGTAATTATGGAATATAATGGATTTATTCCGTTTCATTTGCATGTTTTCTTGTTAAAAACACATCACTAAATATTATTAATGTTATTATGTTTTATATTATCATTTATATTTAATTTATGTAGTATCAACTGTTGTAAAACAATAGTAAAACTGATATAATATATGCTTCGTACTCTTAATTTAAGAATCTATTTTATTTGTATTACAGATATTTTTCATAACAAATACCTTAACAGCATTGCATTAGCGCGTGTGAAGTGAAAGTAGGCCAGTGAACTTCTGCTGCTAAGCAGCCAAACTTTACACAAGCAGAGGCACAAGTTCGCTTGCGAGGATGTACTCTGTTTTTAACAAATGAGGTAAGTATATAAAATATGTTTCATGTTTTTTTGTCTGTTATAGTGCTATTACACCTGCTTTTAAATGGACAAAATCGTGCACTGAGTTTTAGAACGAATCCAATTCAGTTCAAACTTAATCTAAGTGCTTTTCTTACAGTAAACGAATAGCACAATAATAGGAAGCTGGTCGTTTTGTTTATCATCATCACCACATTGTCATTTTATTAATTGAATAAAAGCATGTGGGGTTATTTGAAACATTTCTCACTAATCATATTAGGATATTAATATAAGCTAAAAAGACTCTTTAAAGTAATAGTTCACCCAAAAATTAAAATTTGCTGAACATTTACTCATCATCAAGCCATCCAATATGTAGATGAGTTTGTTTCTTCATCAGAACAGATTTGGAGAAATGTAGCATTACTTCACTTTCTCACCAGTGGATGCTCTGCAGTGAATGGGTGCCGTCAGAATGAGAGTCCAAACAGCTGATAAAAACATCACAATAATCCACACCTCTCCAGTCCATCAGTTAACAATCTTGTGAAGTGAAAAGATGCATCTTTGTAAGAAACAAATCCATCATTAAAACATTGATAACTTCATACGAGTGCTCAATCCATAATATTGCCTTCTCCAGTGAAAAAGTCATCTTGTCTTAATCGGGAGAGAAATATGCAGCGATCCAGCACCGTTTCTAAGCAAAAACAGTCTAAAACAGTTTTGAACGAATATGGATTTTTCTGTGGATTTTGATGTGAGAAGACAACAGGATGGATGTTTTGGACGTTAGACGTTGATGGATTTGTCTTTTCACAAGATATTAATTGATGGACTGGAGTGGTGTGGATTACTTGTGGATCATTGTGATGTTTTTATCAGCTGTTTGGACTTTCATTCTGACGGCACCCATTCACTGCAGAGCATCCGTTGCTGAGCAAGTGATGTAATTCTACATTTCTCCAAATCTGCTCCCATGAAGAAACAAACTCACCTCGGATGGCCTGAGGGTGAGTACAGTAAAGTATGTATTCATTTTTGGGGGCGAATTATTGCTTTAAGTCTTTCCACTCAGAAGTCTGATCAGGCTCATTGATCTTCTTTGAAAACTCATCTATTTTCCCTCAGGGACTTTAAAGCCAGTGTAACTGCTGCTGGGACACTGAGCACCACTGCACCAGAGGAATCAAACGCCACACTCCAGCACGCGTGAGGAAACACAGTCTCAAAAATGCTGCATTTGCATTGCATTTATGACCCTTGCACATCTACGTTCTCACTTGAAATAACTGAATGTCTGTGATTTTTGGATACTGCATAATGTATTTGTGTCACCTACATCCAAGCCCAAGCCGATTTGAAATTTGTCTTGTAATACAAGCAGAAAACTTTCCATCTCTGAGTATTGTTAATGTCTCTGAATGTCTCTGAATGGGCTGGACAGAGGAGATCGATTAAAGAAAGGCCACTCTATGGTGTCCTTGAATGATGTCTCTTCTGATTCTCTCACCAAACAGACAAAAGACACTCAGAAGATTAAGAGGCGAGTCTAATACAAACATTAGTCATCAGAACTATTATTTTTCTATCTCACTACTCACAATTTATGGTTATTGTTTGGCAGGGCAAATCTTTCCTTCCCAGATCCCATGTTCCCTATTTCCAGCAAGCCCAGCGATAAACCAAACAATATGGTCAAGGTATTTAGAGGTTACACTTGACTTCCAAAATATTATTTTTCAAATCTGTATTAAATAAATGATGACTTGTGATTGCAGTTAAATACAGTTCACATCAGTCCTTTGATGGGCTGCTCTGAGTTGCCACAGTGTCCGGTGGTCATGTGGATTCCCAACCCGCACCATGAGCCTCAGAGGCTCCACCAAAACAAGTAGGCCTGTCCTCACAATAATTGTTTCCCATTGTATCAACATGGTTATATTAAGCATGTAACTAGTACTGTATTTTATATTACTTTTATTTAAACCATCTTTATGAGATATTGATATCAAGCATACATTGTAGGGTGACAATACATCCTCTTTTTCCCGGACATGTCCTGGGAACACTTTCTCTTTACAATCCTCATACATTATATTATGTGTTTGTATTTGCATTGCTTTGATTTGTTCTCTGTAGATCCCATTTTCTCACACACCACAGTTGGTTGATTTAGTACAATGCATGCATGCTATTGGTCAAACTACTTTTCAGTCATTACCTTTTCTCAGGACATGACTGATAAAAAGAGAAGTTATGGTCACCCTAAAATATATAGCATACTTTGTGTAATAGTCACACTCTCTCACTTGCATTTAACTGATGTTTAGCATCTGCTTTTCACCAATAAGGTCTAAATCTCCAAACATTGCTATAAAAGAGTTATTCTGCCTTCCATCTTGTCAAATGACCAAGCCATCCATAGTGGTGAGTAACTAGGCAAGTTGTCTGCAAAATAAATATGTTTTACCATCAAAATAAAAAATAAAAATACAATTTTTATATATTCAACTCTTATTGATATAATTGAAAGTGATTTATTTAAATTTTTATTTTTAAACAATATCTTTTTAAATACATTTTATGGCACTCTTACACTCTAAAAAATGCTGGGTTAAATACAACCCAGTGCTGGGTAAAATGGGGACAAACCCAGCGGTTGGGTTACTACCCAGAAGGTTGGGTTAAACATTTAACCCAACCGCTGGGTCAAAACAACCCAATTGCTGGGTTTGTCCATATTTTACCCAGCACTGGGTTGTATTTAACCCAGCATTTTTTAGAGTGTAGTCTTTCAAAGCAGAAGTGCATTTGTCCAGCAGAATTCTGCTGTTTTTGTTTGTTAATATTCAGGCCAACCTGTGGAAGAAGTGTGATGGTCGTAAAAGGAGAGGGACGAGAGGTATTAACTCTACACTAGAGGGCGCTGGCACCCCACGGTGGGGTGGGCATTTGCTTTAATCCCATTCCCAAAACCACCCCGCATCACCTCTCCCTTCAAAGGTGAGCATAGGTGTGTTTTGGGATACAGCTGCCTAACTGACCCATGTTAAATGAAAGAATATCTCATTTCAGAGCACTCAGAGTGCTTCAGAAAGAGCGTTTCAGAGCACTACCAACTTAAAGGCATAGTTCACCCAAAAATGATGGACTGTCATAATTTACGCCGTTCCAAACCTGTATGACTATCTTTCTTCTGTGGAACACAAAACAAACTGTTCACTTCCAAAAACGGTATACTACCGTAAAATTACATGTAATGTCCAATACAGTTTTTCACCGTATATAGTAGGGGAATTTACCGTTAACCATTTAACAGGTTTTTACTGTAGCATTTTTACAGTCTTTTACCGTTAAATTCACGGTAATTTTTTACAGCAGAGGTTAGCAGGGCCATGGTAACAAGCCAAACCTTGACCCTTTGGTGCAAACACACACACACAGCTGCGGTGTCCCTGGGTCGGTTCTCACACCCAGCGTCTGTCTCTGTTCCAGGTAACCTCCCGTCTCACCGCACACTCATGTCCACACACCCATCGCACTTGTTTTTCCATTAGTACAGAGACTTTGAGCGAGTTTATGTAGGAGAGAATGGTCAAAAACACTGAGAGCGAGAGAGAGAGTTCTGTGCACTGGGATTTCCATAGTTGACGTCCAAGAGAGGATACAGTTTGCTCACAGATGCTGGGACACTATAAACATAATGTTTGGGACACACACCAGGTGTGACCCAAAAACTATGCGCTGAATACAACTCTGGGTGACATGCCACATCCTCCCAAATGAATAGGTCATTTACTGCATGGTTAGCATGAAATTTGTTTGTCAGTAAGGTTCCTCCCAAGTGTGCAGGTGCTTCCTTTAATCGTGCATCTGAATCATATAAATTATTATGCCTGTGTTTAGAATGGAATATTATTTTGATACTTAACAGAATTCTGTACAGTATAATATACACTGTCTATTATAGCATTTAAACAATAAATTCAGAAAAAAAATATCATAACGTAATCAGTAGCAAGATCACATTTAATTTTAATATTTAAGAATTATGGCAGAAACAATTTATTAAATTGTGATTGCAAAGGTTGTGTACCTTTGTCGGGAAGTAAAAAATAACAGAATTAAATGTGAAATTTCACAGCAAATCTATTGAAAGCCAGCCAAAATCACACGTGTCTAAACTCGTAACACTAAACTGTCACATGATTTTAGTGGCATTTTAATTACATTTTGTACAAATATCTTGACATTTTGACAGCACAATCAGATAATGAGTCAAGGAAAATAATGCAAAAATCATTTTTGATAATTCAGTTCATTCATCACACTGGAAATGGTAGGTCAAGTTGAACGCATTGCATTGTGGGATATATAACATTGAGTGCAGTGTGTTCTGGTGTACTGCACAGTGTGGTAGTACAATATGCTATTCCAAATATAGTCTGTCTCCTAATTTAGTCAGGTGGTAAAGCATGACTGAAACAAACAAAACTCGCAAAGACAA